CTTACTAGGAAAACAAACAGTTATTTCTCTACTTTTATGGTAATTAAGAAAGTAAATATTATTTTATCAAACTAATAAAGCAAAACAAGGAGGACAAAATATTAAAAGAAAACGTGGTTTCACGAAATGGGAGCTAAAGTGAAGAGATTTCTTGTGTAAAAAATTTTTTAATTGCACAGTGGTAATTAAAGGTAATAAAAGGCCCTGGCCAGGTGGCTCAGTTGGTTGGAGCGTTGTCCCTTGCACCAAAGGATTCGATTCCTGGTTGGGCTGCGTGCAGGAGGCAACAGATCGATGTTTTTCTTTCTCTCCCTCTCTTTTCCTCTTTCTCTAAAATAAAGAGGGGGGAAAATTTTTTTAAAGGTAAAAGAATTATAGGAAGGAGCGCTATGAAAATAGGGCAGGTTAATATCACTCAGAGATTACTACAGAAGAACACAAAAGAAACAGATCCTCCAGAGCCACTTCAAGCTTGAACCTATGTGACTCTTTTTGTCTTTATTTTATTTCCACAAAAGTGTACACCATATATCACCACATCATCATAATTCAGCACATTTCAGAGACAGAAGACTAGGAAAAGAAATGTTCGCTGCAGGTCAGGGTTTTGATGACTGGCAAAACACTAGCAAGCTTGCATTGCAGTTGTCTGAACCACACCCAGTCTGCAGTTAAATATAGAATTTAGTTTCTGGAACTATTGGTTTTCTTAACCTTCACAGTCCAAGTATTCACTGAAAAAAAAAAATTAAAAGTAAAAAGGAGAAAGGGAAGAAACTGAAACCAAAATCTAAGTACTAATAAACTGTCCTGGGAAGAATTCCAAAATGCAGAAAATACCAAGAGAATTAAATTACAGAAACCTCAAGCAACATTCTAGAAACACTCTACAAACTGATCTGTCTCTTCCATGTTGATTTTCCAGGATGTGTAACAAAATGCATTTGTGCACTAGACCCATGTCTCTAATTCAGATGAGATATTCAGGCTGTATAACATGTCAGGTTAACAGCAGCGATACTAAATTTAGAGCTACGATTTAATTTTGGTTTGTTATAATATCATGGTTGTGATGCTATTTTTCTTCATGAAGAGGCACTTTTATCCTAAGAAACTATTTTTAGATGCTTAAATTTGGGGGGGGAAGAGACACTCTCACGCTGAAATTTTTAATGCTGATTCTTTGCGTGTTGGAGGAGGTAAGAGGAGAATATTTTGAGTTAATTTTTAAAGTTGTTTTGAAGATTGACAAAGGTAAAATCAACAACAAAAACTGTTTTCCTTATAATTTCATGGGGTTCCAGGCTTCAGTAATGATTTTGTTTTATATTGTTCACTGAAGATGAACATGAAAAAAATCTAAGAGCACAAATAAATTACGGATGTACTGGTCCAAAAAAACATGCAATCGTTTTAATTACAAACACACAGAGGTATTCATTTGCTTTCATTTCCCCCCACACACCCAGACACAGACTCATCATTCAGCGACTTTGATGAAAAATAAGAGCAATAAATTATCTATACACAAATCTGGCGCCAAAGAGGGGACTCTTAACCAATATCTTCTCTTGCTTCTGCCTGTCACAGCTAGGTACTCTTAGATTTATTCCTATATCTAGTTAAAGCCCTTTTTCCAAGTTGTTGCTTCTCTATCTATCTTGCTTAATTGGAGCTGAAAACCTGAATAGGGAGATGCGAAGGTTTCTTTTACCTTTCTGTCCTGATAATTACAGGAGACACACTGGTTTCCAAAACTGAAAGACTATCCAGGCCAAAATGCTGAATGGTTAAAAAGGAGCGAGCACATTTGAAGATGGACCTTGAGGATGTTATGCTAAGTGAAATAAGTCAGTCAGAAAAAGCTAAGAACCATATGATTTCACTCATATGTGGGATATAAAACTGAAACTCACAGACACAGACAACAGTATGGTGGTTACCAAGAGGGAAGGGGGGTACGGAGGTAGTGAAGGGGGTCAAATATATGGTGATGGAAGTGATTTTATTCTGGATGGTGGGCACACAATGCAACATACAGATCATGTGTCATAGAAATGTACACTTGAAACCTATATGATCTTATTAACCCATGTCACCTAATAAATTTAATTAAAAAAGCAGCTTTGCTCCTAGGCCACAAAGTATCCAAAACTTCTGACCATACACTCTTAACGACTTTTCAGGCCTACTAGGTTCATTCCTTTACTCCTTTTACTCTAAACTGTATTCTCTCCATCCTTAGCACTTTGTCTCATACCTAGTAAGTACACTTGTAGGAATGAACAAAGGGACACAGGTTTGCTAAATAAAAATCACATTTGGATCTTACATTATGTGCACATGCAGATATTTCAGACATACGATATAGATACTTTTTTCCTCTTGCGAATATGTAAACTACTTGAAGTCAGCTTAGCTCGGTGCTAGCACACAGCAGATGCTCTATAAATAAATGACTGAATGAATAAATATCAGTCAATTATCTAAATCTATTTTACTCATTAAAATCTAGTCAGGCCCTCTTTAAACAATGACAAAAATCTTTTTAATTATGGGAAATTTCAAATCTTCAAAGTATAATAAACCCACGAGTCTCCTTGTACCTATTATCCAGCTTCAATGATCATGAGTAGACATGCCATTCTTGTTCCATCTTTCCCCCATTACAACCTTAATATGCTCTTAATCAGACAAGGTTGTGACACAAGGTTGCAACACATGTTCATCTAGTGGCATCAGGCTTGAGAGTTAACAAAGGCCAAGTCCATATATTAAAAACAATCAGCATACACCCAAATAAAAAGAACACTTTTTAGTTGGTAAGTGGAGCTCAAATGTATGGTTAACATTATCTAAAGGTCTACACATGGCTGGGCCACTTATTAGGTTTGTGGCCCTGGGAATTTATTCCACCTCATAAAGCTTTGATTGCCTCATTAGAAAAAGGAGAAACCAGGCCTGCAGTGAGAAGTAAATGCAAAGGATACAGGGTGAGAAAAAGTAGGTTTACAGCTGTGAGTATACAAAACACAGAGTTTATTCTTGTGTTATTATTTATTATTGTATTATTTTCCATATGAACAACTGTAAACCTACTTTTGTCCTACCCTGTTATGTGAAGCTCCTAATAGTGCACCAACTGTTTCTTTTTAATAAAAACAGCTATATTGATATATAATTCACACACCAAAAAATTCACCCCTTTAAAGCGTACAATTCAATAGCTTTTAGTATATTCATAGAGTTGTGTGAGCATCACCACAATCAATTTTGGAAATTTTCATCACCACAAAAAGAAACTCAATACTTCTTAGCCTCCCCCGCCCCCCAAAAATACTTCTATCCTCCAGCCCCAGGCAACCACATATCTACTTTCTGTCTCTAGATTTGGCTATTCTGGATATTTCACATAAACAGAATCATATAATATTGTCCTTTGTGACAATAAATGTTTTGGCAACTAGATATTTTAGAAGTCAAATATGAAATACACATAATGCGATGAGGTCAAAGAAGTGAAAAAGGCCAAAAAAGGGGGGATATATATATCCCCATATATATATATATGGAAGGAGAGAGGGAGAGGGGAGAGAAAATATCTACTGTAACGCCAGGCACTAAGACACATGGTAGGGAATTTTTTTTTCAGGTAGGGAATATTACTGAAGCGCTTTGGGGATGGTAAGAGGCAGGAACAAGGAGCACGTGTGTTACTTGCTAGTTAGAATTCTTCCCCAGAGCTTCACTTTCTTCCTTTAAACAGGAAGCAAGGTCATCATGAGAACAAAAATGGGGAGTATGCAGAGAGAACAGAGTGGAAATAATTGTTTTTGAAAGTGAGAAAGGATGAACCAGGAAGGTTGAGTATGATTGTCTGGCAGAACTAAAGACCCACCCACTCGAGGTTCATTGTCATGAATTTAAAATGAGATCAGTCAGCAGGGTTTTAAGTTTTCCTCCAGCCATATATAGCTGCAACAATGAAGAAAAAGTATAAGAAAAAAAGAAAAGCAGAGTGTGAAAAGGCTACCCACAGAATGGGAGAAAATATTTGCAAACCATATTATCTAATAAGGGACTTGTATTGCACCTGGATACATAAAGAAAACTTATAATTCAATATAAAAAGACAACCCAATTTTTAAAATAGTCAAAAAATCTGAACAGATATTTTTCCAAAGAAAAATATATAAATAGCCAATAAACATATGAAAAGATGCTTAACATAATTAGGGAAATGCAAGTCAATGAGAAGGTATTATGCTAAATGCAATAAGCAGAGAGAGACAAATACTATATGATTTCACTTATATGTGAAATCTATAAAACAAAATAAGCAAACAAAACAGAAACAAACTCATCCACTCAGAGAACAAACTGACGGTCGGCAGATGAGAGGGGGTTTGAGGAAATGAATTAAAAAAGTACAGGAATTAAGAAATACAAATTGAAGTTATAAAAATAATCACAGGGACGTAAAGTAAGCATAGGGAATATAGTCAATAATACTGTAATAACTGTGTGTGGTGTCAGATGGGTACGAGGCTTATGGGGGGATCATTTTGAAAGTTATATAAATGTCTCATCACTAAGTTGTTCACCTGAAACTAGTATTGTATGTCAACTGTAACTGAAAATTTTTTTAATTACAAAAAATTCTCAGTGGCCTCCTATACAATTATTCAATTATTTTGTTGAAAATAAGACAGCAAAGAGCTTTTCCAAAATATAATAAAAGACTTAAATTAAAAAACAAATTCTTCTAAAGTTTCTTAAATTACTGAGGACACTATTAAATTATATTGATAGATGTTAACTTCAGTTTTACGAATTCTCAACAGTAAGAACATCTTATTTCTATAATACAGCATTTATAACACTCCAAAGTATTTTAGAGATAGAGCCTAGATCCCAAATTACTTGTTTGAAATGAAAACTGTCCAAATCTATTCAAAGTGTCTCTCTTTGGAGGCTGCTCATAGGAAAAAGAGATGTACCTTTCCATGACAGCCAGGCATTCCTTTCTCCAGGTAAATCGACTCCCTCGTCTTAGTCGGAAGGTGCCAGATGTAGCAGAGACTGGGGGAGGCGTTTGTCTCCATTCTGGATCTTCTATTGGAATGGGGGCTGGTCTCATACTTAGCGTAGCCCCTGAAATAAACAAGATATTTTTAGCAAATATATTCTAATTTATTAAAACCAATATAATAAATATATCATGAAATCAACAATAAACTTTTGCCTCTACACTGAAACTTGCAGGCCCAATACATTTGATATTTACAATTTTTAGAAAATAAAAATTATTTTACCAAAATAAAAATCCAAAGAAACAAAAACTCTTCCTTAAAAAGTCATCATTAATTATATTAAAATGTCTTTTTTCCTCGAGTTTGTCATTTATCTTTGTTATTTTTTGAAACAAAGCTCAAAATCTATCTCTTTTGGGGAATAAGAAGTATGATATTTTGCCCAGTGACAATCAGACTATCTTCCTCTGAAAAATCTCTCTTAAAAATCCTATTTGAAAGTTATAATCTTTTTCAACAATATTTCCCATCTATGTTCAGAAACTTTCATTACCATTCAAAGGACTTTTGTTATTGAGAAAATGGAGCCCTTAAAGTATGTATGCAGGCAGGTGGTGAATTTAAAATAACCCTAATAGTTGTAAACTCTTAAAAAAAGTCACAGCATAAAAGAAAATAGGATGATAGTTGATATGCTTTTAGTGTATTAACAAAATCAGATCTCCATAGGTCTCTTATCTGTTAATGCTATATACCATTTTTTGTTACTTCTGTTACATAATTAAAACAAATGAGAAAATATTTAATTGAGATATTGTACTAATTCAGGCTAGCCTTTTCTCAAATAACCTGAACTGGTGAGGATGCATGTATTCATTCATTTACCATCTACCCAATCTTTTGGCTTGTTCTAGGCTAGAAGCAATGAATAAAACAAAAAAAGCAACATTGTCTCTGACTTCCATAGACTTCATTCAAAGAATTTAAATGTGACTTGGTATGCTGTCATAGAATACACTCCCGGCTCTCCCAGAGTTCTTTCTCTTTAAAACAATTTTTCTTCAGTTACAGTTTACATTCAATATTATTTTGTATTTCAGGTGTGCAGCATAGTAGTTAGACAATCATATATTTCACAAAGTATTCCCCTCAATATTTCCAGTACCCACCTGGCACTATACACAGTTAATTACAATATTATTGGCTATAGTTCCTATTCTCCCACTGTTTTTTCATTCTTTACACTGTGAAATTCATCTTCCCAAAGCATAATTATGATCATATCACTCTGCTGATCAAAAACCTTCAAAAAGTTCCCTCTGCCTATGGAATAAAACCTAAACTCTTCCTACAGAATAACAACCTAAACTTTTAATATAGCACTAGAAAAACAGGTTAGAACTTGTTAGAATTATGTGAAATAATAATATACATATTAATAAGTATATATTTCTTTCTCTATAACAGAAATCATACTTTACTGTACCTTGCAATTAATACCATAGGTAATATTTCTGCATTACTACACATAGATCTCTTTATAGATTCCCTCTTAAAGGACTACATAATCATATTAATTCTTTTATACAGATGCTCAATATTTTAACCCATCCTGATTTTCCTCTCCAAACCCGTTGTCCTCAGTCTTTCCCATTTGAGTAAATGGCATCACCATTCTTCAAATTGCTCAGGTCTGAAATCTCAGATTCATCTTTGACTTAGGCTCTTTTTCTCCAACATACTATATATCCAGTTTATAGGCAAATCCTGTCAATTTTATCTTCAAAATATATCCATAATCAAACCAATTTGTATTACTTTTACTTCTACCAATTTAGAACAAGGCAGCCATCTCTCTTAAGCATAACTTCCTGGGATAGGTTCCAAAGATGGCCCTTCGCAGTAAGCTCTACCTCCTGGTAATCGTACCCTTGAATCTGGGCTGGATCTGTGACACATTTTGACAGCCAAAAATGGAAACAGTTCAAGGCTAGGTCATAAGCAGCTTTCAGCTTCTAACCAGATCTCCTTGATGCTGGTTCTGGGGGAAGCCAGACTAACCTGAGACCACAATGTTGTATAGAAGTCCAAGCTAGACAAGTGGAATGAAAGATGCCCAGCCAAACCAAGGTGCTCCTGCCAAACTCAGACAGGTGCCAGACATTTGAGAAGAAAAGCCATTTTGGGCATTGTAGCTGCAGGACACACCATGCAGACAACTATAGAACCCAGATGACAGAAAAAAAGCCCTCGGCATTACTTAGTCCCAACACAAGCTGTGTGGTAGTGAGCCTCCAAGATGGTTCCTAAGGATCCCTGCCTCCTGCTACTCACTGCCCCCCTCATACCAGAATTAGTCTGTGTGATCAATAACACATGGTATAAGTGATGGTATGTTACTCCCAATATTAAATTACAGCATACACTGTGAAGTCTGTCTTGCTTGCCCGTCTCTTGGATCAATGGCTCAGGGGAAACTAGCTGCCATGTTGTAAGGACACTCAGGGAGCCAATGGTGAGGCCCACATGGAGAGAACTTGATGTCTCTGGCCAACATGCAGTAAGGAACTGGGATCTGCCAACACTCATGTACATCACCTTGAGAGTACACCGTCCAGCCCAATGACTGCAGCCCTGGCTGACAGCTGGACCGCGACCTCAGGGGAACGCTGAGCCAGAACCACCCTTGCTAAGCCATGCCTCGACTCCTGACCCTTAGAAATTTTGAGATGATCAATTTTTATTGTTTTGGCCGCTAAGTGGTGGGGTAACTCTCCAGTTGTTTATTTCCCCATGTTCCTTAGTACATTGAGTATTAGAAGTATTACTAATTATTCACAATTATAAACTTAGCAGGCCAGAAATTTCTCTCTAATACAGATCTCACTGTTAGTAAGAATGAACACCTTCTCCTGTGAGCCTCTACCTTATGTCCTTTTCTGAGTTATTCGCCTTATTGGTGTAGAAACCTCACCAACTGCCGGTCATACAGACTACAACTGTTTTTTCCAGTTCATCATCTGTCTTTTATCTTTATTAATGGTGTGCTTTATGGTCCAAATTTTTATGCATTCAAACCTGTCAATCTGTTCATTTACGGTCAATGCATTTTATATCATTCAGAATATTTTTATAGTTTTTCATTTTTGTATAAACCCTCGGTACATGATTTCCTCAAATGGACATGTCATCATACAATAATCTAGAGATTCACAGCTTAAAACGTATGGCAAACTATGGTGTGTTGCCATAGTTTAAATGAAGTTTTACTTGAACACAGCCATACTCATTCATATACAAGTTGTCTTTTTCCCCCCCACACTACAATGGCAGAGTTGAGTAGCTGAGACAGAGACCACATAGCCAACAAAGCTTGACGTATTTACTATCTGGCTTTTCACAGGAAGTTTGCTGCTGGCCCCTGGTTAAAAAAATTCCTGGCCTACACACTATGAAACTCTAAACTGAAACTCTTTTCTGGACATTTCAAGAAAGAGGGATCCGTGCTGCCAAGATAACTTGGCAATTAGGTCTGGGCCTAATTCAAAGTTAACAAAGTTTAGGCGTAAAAGGGAACTACAGAGCTGGAGGGCTTAAAAATCTTTGTTTTGGTACTTTTCTGAACACAAACAGAAATTACAGCTGGACAAGGGCACTGGAATCTAAGTAAGACTATATAAATATTGTTCTATAGCCATGATAAAAGATCTGAAACAGCCAAGCTGTTACCATGATTGATCAAGACAGAGGTAGAAACAGACTCTAATAAAAGAAGAGAGAGATTCAGGGCTTCAGTGGGTGGAGGACAGGAAATATGCCAGTGAATTCCAAGTAGAGGGCCACAACTATATTTACAGCATGCTTTCTTAGGTAAGTAGGTGATAAATGGGTACAAATAAAACAAAGAATACAAAGGCTCTTAACTCAATCATGAGGTTGAAGGAAATAAGTCAACTGATAATAATGTTTCTTTCTTGGTATTGGGGTTATTGGTAATATTACTATGCTTCTTTATAATATAATGTGTTGTCCAGATTTTTTAATAAAAAATTTAGATGAAATAAAATTGGTCAGGAAGTAAAAGAAAGGGGGAGAGAAGGAAGGAGAGAAAAAAGAAAAGAGAAAAGTGAGTAGTGGTCTGATTACTTTAAAAGAAATCAAGAGCCCGGCCGGGCGTGGCTCAGAGGTTGAGCATTTGCCTAGGATCCAGGAGATTGGGGTTCGATTCCCGGTCAGGGCACATGCCTGGGTTGCGGGCTCGATCCCCAGTCAGGGGCTGTGCAGGAGGCTCCATGACTCTCTCATCACTGATGTTTCTGTCTCTCTCTCTTTCCTCTTCCTTCCTCTCTCTGAAGTCAATAAAGATATATATAAAAAAATTAAATAAATAAAATAAATCAAGATAATTTATGCACAGAAGGAAGAAATTCTGAATAATTTCAAACTTGTAAACATACTTCATTTGAAACTTAGTATTATCACTTTACTTCTGACTGAGGGTTTTTTCTTGCTCCTTTTTCTTTTTCAATGTAGCAATATTTAAAAATGGCACAAGAAGCACTCTGGAATCACTCCAATAAACAGAAATTTGTTCTAGAAAACTTGGTTTATCTTGCTTTGGTCAAAATGGGTAAAGAGCAATGAATAACCCAAAAATGGGTACAAAAATCATTGACTTTGACAAAAAAATACAAAGATACTAGAATGCAGGAATAATGTATATAAGACTTAAAACTCCTCTGAAATAAAGCACAGGAGTTCTGGGTTTTTTAAACAACCCATTTTTTTTCCTTAGAGGAAGTGTGTTACTATTTTCTTTACAGAAACATTTCCCCCTCACATTATATCTGGGCTCCCATTAGGACAAAATTTTGGGCATTTATACAGCTACTCTAAACCTAAGAGGAAAAAAATAACCTCTTCCTAATTTGCTGATAGAGTTAAAAATTTTAATAAATGTTTTCTTTGTATATATAATTTTCTTAGCAGGGTTATTTCTAGGTGAGCCTTATCAGGGTTATTTCTGGGTGCGCCTTTCCCAATCAGCTAATAAAAGAATGACTACAAGCATGTCATTACTACTCCATTCATAGAAGCTAGCTTCTCACAAAAGTAATTTCT